TGTTACTGAACATAATCAACCCAGGAAACTTTTTAAATTAAATTTAAATTTACACCTCTGTCTCTCGAACTTTTCATCAAATTTAATTTAACTATTGAACAGTTAAAAGAAAAAAAAATAAACACACCAAAAGTTTTAGACCATTTTAATGGCTGCAGTTGTTTTCAGGTGGACAACTTCAGCCTCAAAAAGTTTGTACACCCCGCAGGGTTGTTAGTTTCTAAGCACCTGGACATTTGTCTCGTCTGTCCATCAAGACTTTCTCCAGAAGCCCAGAACCCAGCCGGACGTGAAGCAAATGGGCTTCCTGTCGGTTCTGGTGAGACCTGCTCTCCTGTTGGTTCAGCTCTGACACCTTAAGGTCTAAATCAGCTCATAAAGCTCTGAATGGATCCTCTCTCCAGAGGAGGTCCGGTCTGGTTCTGGTTCTTTTGGACCCCAGAAACTTCTAGGCTGTTTCTTGTCAGGTGGAAGAACTCACCTTCTCCAGCCAGGCGGGACAGAATCAGTCCGAGGTACATCGTCTGCTCCACAGCCGTCGACCACATCTGGTTCTGGTTCTGGTTCTGGTTCTGGGTCTGGTTCTGGTCGACCCGCCGGGTTAAAGTATTCACACCCCGCCTGGGAACCAGAAGGAGTCCAAACAGAGTTTCTACTTTTGCTTTCCAGCGGTGTCGCTTTCCAAGCCTCCAGTTGCAATCTGAGTCTACTGAGGAAGAGGAGGGTCAGCCTTCATCCCTGCTATCTGAGCAGAACAGAACCCCGGTTCTGGCCCGGTAGGGAGCTGAGATGAGCCTCAGTCAGGCGGGGTGCATCCCGCTGTGGTCTGTGACTGGGCAGGTGATGGAAAATGTTTCAATTTCTGTTCTGGTTCTGGAGACCTTCATCAACGTCATCGTCATCATCAGCTGTACATACTTCCAGACATTTAAAGGGCCGGTATCATGTGTTTTACATTTTACAGCATATCAACTCTATTACCTTATAAATAGTTCTAAAAATGCTTTTTAAAATAAATTAAATATGACTTCCTGATTTAACTCCTTAAATTTGGGTCTCTGTCTCTTTAAGAGGCTGCTGCTCTTCCTGAAGCTCCGCCTCCAGGAAAGAGCTGAGAGGGGGAGGGGCTAGGTCCACCCAGGCGTTCAGCAGCTGAATGGTTGCCATGGAGATTAAAATAATTCTCAATTCCTGACTGGAATCAAAGCAACACAGCAGGTTTGTTTCTGATTAAACTTTATCCACCTCATTCCGAAGCCCCATGAGGCTTTGCGTGATTTATGGGCGTGACTTCTGCCGCTAACCGGAACCACCACTTGTTTACATGTTAGCAACTTGCTAACCGGCTTTCCACAGAGGATTTAGGCTATAAAATATGTGGGAACTCCAGCTATCACAGCTTACATGTGGCAATATTGTTTTACCGCTACCTACAGCTAATGCGACTTGAAGAAATAGCCGCAAATAATCCGCCCTAGCATAGCTAGCTACTTCACTAACTCCTTTGCTTCGGATGCAGATGCGGGTTTTGAAATGAGCACATGTAACATAGTTAAAATGGTTCCGGTTAAATCCTGCTAAAATGCACCATCTGCTGGTGAAAAGTTTTACTGCATTCACCTTAGATAGAGCGAGGTATTATGGGTAATCCTCAGAGCCATGAGGATCACCGACGAGGAGCTTGTTTTATCCCAGACACTGACCTCACCTCCATGCCCATTGTGTGAAATGCAGATGGAGAATTAAAGAAACAGCTGATGCCAACTTGAGCAACTCCTTGTCGTTCATCACCACACCAAGAGAAACCACCAGAACCCAAAGCATGTTGGGTTCTCTGTTCAAGTTTAGAAGTTTTAGCCAAATTATTTTTGTTTCCTTATCTGTCGGTAGGAGATGAAAACTACCGCCTTTGTTTTGGGAGCACATTCAAGACACACCTGCTGCTGCCACAAACTAAACTTGGTCTGATTATTAAAGTACAGCCAGTTACCCGAGCTCCGATAGGGCAGACACTTTCCAGTGGCAGGTTGCTCTCTATAACAGATTAATGTGTGATTCGGTTCGGTTCTGGTCCAGTGGGGAGATTCTCCATATTACGGTCCGGAGCGCAGCAGCTGCTGTCATTTATCCGCTGGAGATCCTTGAGGTTCTGGTTGTGATGGATTAAATAAATCCAGATATTTTATTTTGTCTAATAAATAAAATGTTCCAGGCCAAATCATAATGATAAAGACTCAGATCATGAACTTTATTATTTTTTAAATTCAAACGAAAATAAGATTCACATCACACCGAGCTGATATTGTGTAGTTCTGGTGTTTTACACCGTCAGCGCTAACAGCAGCTCAGACTCTGACCAGCTTCTCTGCTTTTCTTTATTCCTGTCAGAGAAACGAGCTGCTAGCAGCGATGCTAATTCATTCCGGTACAAAACTTACCGATCTTGTTCCTGTCGCTCCTCTGATTAAACTCCTAATTACGATCCTCTGCACTGAGCAGCTCTCTGACAGCAGACGGTGTCCGTGAACAAGTTTAACTAAACATTGTATTAAAACTAGGGTTGCCACCTTTCATAAATTAAAATTAAAATGAGGGACCAGTCCCTGTTTGTGTGAAGGGGGGTCTGTGTTACCCAGAAAGCAGTTGGGCACAATATCGCAACACCAACACCGTGAGTCAAACAATGACTGGGGCAGCCTAAAGTACTCGGCATCTACACATAGAATACGGAACAAATCGCGTTCTGTATCGGTTCAATACATATGGGACGCCTGGCAACCCTAATTATAACCGAAAAGAGAGATATAATTTAATTAATTTAGATTAGCAAAAGACCCCTACAAATTACAATGAATTAATGCTACTTCCGGTGGGCGCCGAACCCATAATTGTTTCCCCAGTGATCCTCCCAGGGAAAAGGTGGATAACAAAAGATGAAAAGGTTTATTTTACAGGTTACTGGCCCTTTAAATGACCAGGTTTCACTGCATCATGGAAAACATGTTGAGGAAACAATCATTCTGTTCTTTTCTTTGTTTTTCTTTCCTCCAGGCCTGTTCTCTGTGTATTTAATAAAGTTTGAATTGAATTAATCAGTGAAGTTTTATTTACATTACACTTTTTGTTTACTTCCTGTTTCAGGAAAACAAACTTCCACAGTCTGGAAAATCTGACGTTTGATTTATACATTTTATTTTTAGTTTCTTACAGTCAAGCTGTGAGTTAGAGATGACTGTTGGTGTGACGCTGCCACCTACTGGGCAGCCTGGGTAACGTCAGAGAGACACAGATAAGTCGTCCTGTCTAATGTAGAAAGTGGTGGCATGGTGCTATGGGCTCCGTTCTAAAAAAAAATAAAATGAAAAGGAATCACCATGGCAACCCGTGGCTCATTTTCTGAACCTCTTTTTGCATATTCTTAGATATTCTTAGCCATTTTCGGTCATTTTTAAACTAAGCTAAAGTTTTATGGTATTTTTGATATTTTTTAAAAGAAATAAACAGATTTCATAAAAGCAGAAATATGAATTTATTGAACATTAATCACTGAAACATTACGGAAGAAATTATCTGATCACAGATCACTAACTCAAACATGAATCACTTGTTTACTCAAAGCAACACGGTCATTTATTTACAAACTGGTAGAAATTGAGACAATCTGCCTCCCGCCGCTAGGGGCGCCGCTTCCCGCCCGATGGATGCACAGAAACTGTGAAGCAAAAACTGAAACTATGAGTTTATGATGGATTTCAGTCAAAACTCTGATAAATACGTTTCTGTTCTCTGTTCCGGTGAGATATTAATACATCCAGGATGCAGTTTGTAAAGTTACACATCCAAAAACTAACAGCAGTAATTTGGGTCATAAAAGAAAAAATTGAAATTTATTTCTTATTTTCAACATGTTATTCAATACTTTATGAATGTTTCAATTTCATGCTAATTATTTAGTTTTGAGCTAAATATTTAGTTTCATACGCAACATTCAGATTGAAGCTAAAAGTTCAGTTTAGTTTCAAACTAAATGTTTAGTAAATATTTAGCTTATAAACTAAACATGTTGCTTGCTAAATAAAAACAGATGTCACAGTTTCAAAATAAATATTTAGTTAGGAAGCTAAGCGATCATTTAGAAGCAAGCCTCAAACTAAATATTAAATTTTAAACTGTAACCTTCATGAATAAATTAAAAGATGGTGAAATTATGACTTTGGAAAAAGAACTCTCACTGTTTTCTCTCAAGACAGATTAAAAAACCAAATTATTGCTGTTAGCCTTCCAAACCTGAGCTAAATCAGACTCATTTAGCCAACTTTGAGACCAAAAGCAGAAAAACATTCAGACGACCTCGCTGACCTTCCTCAAAGGTCAGAGAGGTCAAACGAGGGAACAGATCTGAGTTTCTGCACCGACCACAGAAAAACCTTCGAATCAAACATCCAGAGAGACGCTGATCACAAAACCAACGACACAAAAACTAAACCGAGGAGGAGGAGGAGGAGGAGNGTCTTATGCACACCCCTTCAAATAAAGTGTTACCGAAGAAGCTAATGCTAAAGCGCTAACTTCATCCATGTCGATACCTACCATGTGGATCGTTCGAAACACTAGCATGATCAAAGCCTGGCGGTTTGTTCATACTAGTGTTTTATTTATTGTTTGTTTCGACTTCAATACATTTTATTCTACCAAACATTCACAAAACACGCATTTAGGGTTTATCTGAAAAAAATCATTTAGGTGAAGCTGAGTGTGCTAAATGTTTTCAAAGTTATCAAAAATGTTAAAGCGCTAAGCAGAATGCCCACCACTGCCTATAGAAAAAAATCTAATTTGATGATAAAAATTTAAAAATAAGATAAACAAATAGCTCCAGAAAGGAAACAATCTAGAATCAAGAAATCCAGATAAACAGTGAGCATGAATTCAATTTTAAGTTTACAAGAGGATCCCAGAAAATCTTTAAGAAATTAATCAGACATGGAGTTTGTCAAATGTTGTCCTGAAACATTCCAAAAATATTTTCCTAGAATTAAAAACTTCCCAGATATATTCAGGACAAAATCTAAAACCAAAGATTTAGAGAAAGAGGAGGACAGTTTCAGACACTCTCTGGAAAAAAAAGCTGAAAATAGGTGAGAGCAAGAGCAGGTCAACTGAACCGAGCAACAGAAAAATCCAAGAATCAAAAATCCCAAATTTATCCAGGATTATTCCAGAGGAACAAAGAGCTGATCTAGAAGAAGATTTCTCTAAATAATTTCAGACAGAGAAACTGGTGGGTCTGGGCGGACTCCAGTGCCACCAGTTCCAGAAACCAGTCAGAACTTAAACATGATGGAAAAATGTCGGTTTACTCACTTCTGACGAGGTTTGGACTCTGCTCTGACCAGCTGATCTGAGTTCTGCTGGGACGGATCCGGAGGCGAGAGGTTCGATGGAGATGAGCTGCAGGACACACACACAGAGACTGAGCCAAGCACATGAAGACGAGTTTGCGTTCTATACTTGGTTACTGCCAGATCTGCTGCAGCTGTCTGGTTCTGTTTTTCTGCTGTTTCCAGATTAAAACCTGATTTTAACTAAATAAAACCTGAACAGAACCTCTCAGAACCTGACCAAGTCCAGATAAAACGCTCTAAACCTCGTCTGATCCCAGAAGATAAAGCCCTGTGTGTTATTCTCCATCCAGCGCCCCCTGCAGGACCAACTTCTCACTTTTTACTGAGCTGCAATGTCCTGATCAGCCTGCAGGGGTCGCTGCAGGGCCTGCTGAGAGGAGGCAGGTCAAAGGTCAGTCAGGAGGTACAGACCTGCAGCCGGGGGGAGGCTCCTCAGAGATGGAGCTGGTTTTGGAGAAGAGGCGGGACTTCCTGCCCAGACCCAGAGCCGACATGTGGTGGCTGAGGAAAGAGCGACTCCTGGTGGCCGATGGGCCCAACCACAGCGAGACAGAGGAGAGGGAGGGGAAAATGGTGGATTAGAGGAGACAGAGGACAGAGACCAACAGGAGGACACCCATAGGACAGAGACAGAGGACAGGTCTGCAGGCGAGACACCTTGTATCCCAGGTAACTTCCTGTCCACCTATCAGGAACATGATGATGGACCGGGCCGAGAGGAACCAGAACTATAGTAACTATAGCTATTATAGTTTACTAAAACTAGCAAAATAAAAACTGAAATTGAAAAAAACAATTTTGTTAATTGAAATATCATCATTAATTATTGGGGGGGAACTAACTAACTGGAACTACAGCATGCGTTTCTAAAACAAACTAAAGCGTACTGTAGATGCAACATCCTTCACTTTTGTGTTTATGAATCTTTTTTTAGCCTTTTGATGAGACGTGGAAATTATTTCTTCCCCAGCAGTTTACGTCAGTTGTCGGCAAATTACGGCGCTCTATTATGGCAACGCTAATCCGCCGAGCGGCGACAGAGAGAACACAAAATAAACTTTTAGAAAATTATTTCTGTAGATTCGTTACCTAATCTAATTAAACATAATCACAACACAATATTTAACCATTTTAAATCCTGTTAAGTTTAAAAATCAAAACTACAACTAAAACTAGCAACTCCAGCAGAGAGGACGGACCGGTTCCTGCTCAGAACCCGAGGACACGGTGCCGGACCCAGAGATAGGCTGAGGACTGAAGGTTCTGAAGGCTTAGACCCGGAACTGAGCGCGACCCAGTAGTGGGTTGCTGTGGCAACGGTGCAGGTCTGAACTGGTGCCTGCTACCAAACATGGAGGCCAAACATTCCTGATTACCGGAGTCACCCGTCTCTAAACTGGGACAGAACCAGAACATGGTCCAAAACAGCTGGACAGAGACAACCCAACAGCACCTGCTGCCGGTCTGTGGACTTACGGGCTGGATGGCGTCTTTGTCCCCAGCTCGGTGGACGCATCGCTGCCGGGTCCAGCATGGGGGGGCAGCGGCGAGCCCCGCGGGGACATCGAGGGACTGGAGGCGGAGCTTCCGGGTTCAGAGGACAGCGGCGACGAGGCGGTGCTGTCCAACGTGGGCGAGGATATGGTGGAGGACGGGGAGAGGACAGGCGTGGACGGAGTGGGGGACAGCAGGTCCGGCAGGTTCTGACTGGAGCGGCGGCTCCTCCTTCCCTCCTGGTCGCCGGCGGCCATCTTTCTCCTCTCCTTTCGGAGGAGGGGGGCGGAGTCATCCACATCTCCGTCCTCATGCCGCAGAGCCGCCTGGAGGAAGGGAGACATGTGAGGACAGCAGGGGGCGCCGTGTGGCGGACAGGCAGCAGAGCGGTCACGTGACCTCGGCGACGGTACCTCATAGATGGAGAACTGGGCTTTGAGGTCAGGCTCCGCCCCCTTGCTGCTCAGGTGTTTCCGGACCACGGCCTCCATGCCCAGACGCTCCAGGCAGTCCGTCACGTCGTAGAACGAGTCCTGGTCCGGCAGCGCCGCCAGAATCTGGACCAGAACCACACAGGGAGTGAGCCGACGGAGGCTGGTTCTGGTTTCTGTCGGGTCTGGTTCTGGTCTTTGGCAGTTCTGGTTCTAGTCTCTGATGGTTCTGGTTTCTGTCGGGTCTGGTTCTTGTCTCTGTTTGGTCTGGTCTCTGACGGGTCTGGTTCTGGTCAGGTCTGGTTATGGTCTCTGACGGTTCTGGTCCTGATTCTGGTTCTGGTCTCTGACGGGTCTGGTTCTGGTTCTGGTCCTGGTCGGGTCGGTACCTTGTTGATGAGCGTCATGGTGAAGACCAGCAGCTCTGTGTCGGCGCCGTTCTTCTCCTCCAGAATGTCCATCAGGTTCGTCCAGGGCTTAACACCTACAGCACAGACAGTGGTAACCATAGCAACAGCCCCCACCAGCACACCTGGGAGGGAGTCTGTGCCTCATCCACCTGTCTGTGTGTGTGCGCGTTGGTTTGTAGTACCTTGTGGGGACCATTCGCCTGACACTACGTTGTGGGGACCCACTGCTCCTTGTGGGACCGAAGCCTGGTCCCCACAAGGAGAAACGCTGTTTTTGGGTCAAGGGTCAGATTTAGGACTAAGATGTGAACTGAGTTTTGGTTGATTAGGATAAGGGTTAGGCTGTATATATATATATGTGTGTGTGTACTTGTATTTGCTGCTATAGGGGACAACTGTCTCCAGTTTCACACACAAATTCAGGTCCTTGTAGAAAGTGAGAACATACTTTGTTGCAACTGGTACTGCACTGTACTAGTTTGAATTGGAGGTAAGATGTGAATTAAGTTAGAAATAAACTAGTACTGGTTTGGGGAAACCTCTGAGCTACACCTGGATGCAGATAACAAAGTCAATGAAAGTCAAGTTTAAGACCCAAGTTTGCACAGAAGTACAACAATGTACAAGTGTCTCTGCCTATGTCTCTAGGCGTGTGTCTCTCTCTGTGTGTTTCTCTGTCTCTCTGTCTCTGTCTCTCTGTCTCTGTGTGTGTGTTTACCTCTCTTTACGTCCACCGTTGTCACGGCGCTGATCAGCAGAGGACCGTTGGACTCGGCGTACTCCACAAACACGATGAGGAGCTTCAGAGCCGTTTTCACCAGCAGGCGAGACTGGAGACAGAAGGAGCAGAGTCATTGTCTGACCAGCAGGGGGTGCCACCATCACTGATCAGGTGTCTCAGGTTGATTGTGGGTTCTGACTCACCACACTTCCTGTCAGCGTGTAGAGCCACTGCAGCGTCTCTGGGTGGTGGATCACGCCGTTCATCCCGTCCACAAACAGCATGATCTGGCTGAGAGCTGGAAGGCGGGGGGGGGGAGTGAGGGACAGACAGGAAGACAGATGAGGCTCCACAGTCCCAGCCTCTAGGCTATAATCTGAGGCTGCGCTCTGCGGCTTCTCTGGACGTGTGAAGAGCAAAGTTTCCGTCTTGTGGGATGAGGACGCCTGTCTGACTGAGACTAAAACAGCGATCCGTTTGGATGAGAACCAAACAACAGCAGAAACGTGTGGAAGAGTTTCCATCTCTGAAACACACGCCTGGGACACACATTGATAAATTAATTAACTAATTAATCTGTTTTTTCCCACCAATGCTCTTCTTTGGTTTCTGTAGTTCAGAGTGATGTCATCACGCCCAGGGCAGCCATCTTGTTTGACAAGCATGTCTTACAGCTTCTGGTTATTTGGACTTTGATTTATTTATTATTTAAATCACAAGAATAAAGTTGAAATGTAAGGAGAATTAATTAGTGATTTAATGAGTTTTAATGAGAACATGAAAAAAGTTACATTAAAATGAGGAATGCTGAGCATCTTGTGGAGCTACTTCCGTCTCAGTTCTACAGATAAGAAAATTCTTCATCTTTTGACTCATCAGCAGCAACTTTGAAATAAAGGCATCGGTTATGAAGAAAGAATCACACTGAGCTGCTCACGTCAGATGCTGACAACTCTACAAGTTTTTTATCATAATTTTTAAGTGTTTTTCTTGTAATTAAAGAAAACTTCTCATAGTCTGGACGTAATACTTCATCATACAACTCATAGGATGGGCTTTTTTAGAATGCATTTTTTTAAGAGAAAACAAGAATTAAAATCAATTAAACCTGTAAATCGGATTTGGCATGAAAAAAGTTTGTATTTTTAACCAGGAGTCGGAGCCACGTGTCGGGGGGCGGAGCCACGTGTCGGGGGGCGGAGCCTTACCTCTCAGGATGTAGTTCTGGTAGTTGTGGTCGGCTTCGGCTCCAACCTTGATGAAACACGCCAAGCCTTCAGACGCTACAAACTCTGGGACCAGATCCTTATCGTCCTGGAGACACAGACCATCTTCATCATCATCATCATCATCATGTCGAGAGGGGTTTCCCTGAGTTCATTCTGGAAAGCAGCAGTTCCAGGATGACCTCTGACCTCCACCAGACTAGCCGTTGCACCGCTCTGCAGATCGTCTCCTGCAGCCGCTGAGCTCCTCATCCAGCAGGTGGAGCAGTTCAGGTGGAGGAGCAGCAGAAGAAGAATTCTCCATGCTGTAGCTGAGCAGCTCCTGGCTGAGTGTGCCACCTACCTGCTGCAGGAAGAGCTGCAGCAGAGGACCAACAGTGCTGCATGCTGGGAGATGCAGTACGGACTGCAGGAAGTCGGGTCATGGCTCAGGTGAGTCTGCAGGTGGTTACCTGGAAGAGCTGCTTGAGGGAGAACAGACAGCGCCTCAGCTCTGGGCCTTTGGAGTTGTACAACCTCTCTGGAACCCAAGAAGAGACAGGAAGTGATGTCACAGCCAGGTGGTCGGTTGAGATCAAGTTCAGTGACCTTTATGGACAGCCTTCAACCTCAGCAACCAATCAGGACGGAGGAGGAGCTCTGGAGCTCCGCCCACTGCTGCAAACAACCTGCAGAACTTCCTGTTTCAGTCCCGGTGTTCATGCCTACTATTTTATGTTGTTTTAACAAAAAGAGAATTTTTCAGATTAATTATTTGGTAAATTTACATTACAAGAAAAAAATGCTTTTTTTTCTTTACAAATCAATAATTTACCAAAAAGGAATGCGCTGAGGCCAAGGCTTATGTGTGAAAGTATGTTTATGTGGATTTTATTGCATGACTTTTGCTGCTGGATATGCAAGTTTCCCTCTTCAGGATAAATAAACTCTCTAAAATAAGTAATTTGATATTTGAGGAGGACAAACAGCTGGCAGCTCCTTCAAACCGTTTCAGTTTGGAAATATTGGTTTTAATGTCAGAACCAGTCCAGGAGTCGGTTTGGGTCTGGGTTGAACAGCTGCTGCAGACGCACAGGTCCGGTTTGATCCGGTCCGGTCCGTGTGCAGAACTAGCAGAAGTTCTGCTGCTGTCCCGGTTCTGTGGTTCTGATTGTGAAACAGAAGTTGGTTTAGATCTCGCTGCGGAGCAGGAGTCAACATGATGAAGACGAGGATGATGAAACTGCAGCAACAGGCGTCAACATGCAGGAGAGGTTCTGATGAGGAGCCGGGTCCAAACGCTGCCGAGAAGCAGGAGGGGCTTCCCAGATTTATCAGATATTTTGCGTTTCTTTCTGGCTCTGAACCAGAGGCCAGATGAGTCTGGATCCGTTTGGGTCTGAACCAGCAAACCGGGCCAACAGCTTCCTTCCTCTCTCTAAACAAAGACGCCGCCGGAACCAGAATGCAGCTACACAATCGGGCGAGCAAACGACCCAACCTGACCCTGCTCAGCAAGATCCCCGACCAGAACCGAACAGAACCAACCAGAACAAACCAGAACTGAGCAGAGGAAACCGGGCCGGTTCTGGTTCTGCAGCTCTAACTGGTGTTTCTGCCTCGTTCCTGAATCCTGCAGGGAACCAGGTGGTCGGGGCGGGTCGCACTCAGAACCGGTTCTGAACTGTGATCCGATCTCCAGCTGCTCATCCAGAACCAGAAATAGAACAAGCTGCGGTTTCCTTTCCTCCACTGACATCACTTCCTGCTCGCCGACGGTGGCTCATGCTGACTGGCAGCTGTTTCCCGCAGAGCAGCTGAGTAAAGGACTCTGAAGGTCAGAAGACCCGTCCGACCAGAACCAGAACCAGATTCGGCTGAATTCTCCACAAAACCACATTTCATGTTCAAACTGAGAACATGAGATATTACTTTGTAATATTCCCTCATCTGGACCAGAACCGACCCAAACAGAACCTCAGAACTTCTGCAGGTCCAGAGCTGCAGCATACACAGATTCATCAGGATTATTATCTGCAGCTGACAAGCGGATCCGGATCCAACCTGCAGAACAGAACCTTCATCCAGATAAAGGCTCCTGTTTATCCTCAACAGGAAGTGAGGCTGATAAACCCACTGAGGCATTTCCTGTTTAAGTCGAGCAGCACGAATTCTCCCGGATGAACCGGGCCACAGCTGCTGGTTCTGGTACCGGGGTTCTGGCTGAGAGGGCCACCAGGGAAGAGGTGTTTAACCTTTGACCCCTCTCTGGAAGTGAACCTTGTCCAAACTGAGCCAGAGTCCGGTTCCGTACTGACAGAACCGTCCTCCATGTCTCTCTGGTCAGAACGGTGATGTGGTCCAACAGAACCAGTTATGATTCTGAATCCGTCTCAGCAGCAGAACTGGGTCCAGATGTTCTCTGCAGCTGGTTTCCAGTGGGAGCAGAGATCAACGAGGCGTTCCTCAAGGCGGGGTCCTCGGCCCACTGCCGTTCAGCTCCTCGCTGCCTCTGGTGGAGACTGTAAGGCACTACATTTTGGCCGTTAGGGCGGCGTCCCCTGGGCGCTGCCCCGTTGCTCCGCGCTGCATGTTTCAGATGCTTCCCTGCTTCAGCAAACCGGTCTCCAGCTGACAGCCGATCAGCTGATAATCAATCGTCTGGATCTCCGTCAGGGAAACAAGGAAAACAAGCCGAGCAGGAAGAGAAGCAGCAGAGGAAGCAGAACGTCTGCGATTTGTTTCAGGACGGATCCAGACAGATCGAGATACAACGGATTGTTCTGGTCCGCCGCTCCATCCGTACCAGAACAGAAACAGAATATCAATATTAGGGCCGGGAGATTAGCTCAGGTTATTAATTACATCAATCTTAACTTTTTTTTTTTTTTTTTTACAAAAGTCCCAAGCAGGAACCTTTGTATTCACTTGTTTCAGGAGCGCCCATAAATCTGACGTACAACATCGGCCATCTGATGGAGCTGTGGATGTTTTCAGGTCAGAGACCAGAAACCGGCCGGGATTCTGGACAGGATCCGGATTCAAAACTCATTCAGGACACGGTGTTGTCATGATAACGCAAGACTGCCGACTCATTGGTTTTGGGAACCTTCCTCTTCCTCAGTACCAGCCCAACTCAGCGAGTCATCGACCGGATTCCACCACACCCACACACACACACACACACACACACACACACACACCGCACCATATAAAACAACACACTCTGGGCAAAGATCCAGGAGAAGAAAAGCTTCTTCTAGAGTTTTACTCACATTTTACCTTCATTTTTATCTAAATCTTTCATCTGATTTTGGGTCAATTTAATTTTATCTCATTTATTTTAATTCTGGTTTCTGTCTAGATTTTATTCTGATTCTATTTTGATTTTATTTAAATTTTTAAACTATGTGATTATTCTGCATTCAGATTTGATCTTGTTTAACATTAAATTTATTCTCATTTTTGTTTTGATTTTTCAGGCCAGAATTTCCTGGGTTTTTTATCCTAATTTTAAACAGATGTTAAACAGAGCAGGTTGAGAGGTCAGAGGTCAGAGGTGGAGCTCCATGTCTGACGCTATAGGCCCAGCTAGCATCCTAAAGGTCAAAGGTCAGCTATTGTCTGTGTGTGATTCTGGTTCTGTTGGGTCGAAATACCGCTGTGGTTTCTGGCGTCAGCTCCTCAGCGAGTCGCCTGCAGGCTTGCAAGGCATGCTGGGAAAGCCCCGCCCCCAGCAGTGCCAGCAGGAACTCTGGGAAACTTTGTCCCGACGGACTGAAGCTGCTGCAAAGGGAACCCCTCTGGTCCAGACGGGTACCAGCAGAACCGGCCCGGCTGCAGCGCCGCCAGAGTTTAGCTCCTCCCCCAGATGTTTGACAAGTTCTAACAGGCCAGAACCAGAACTTTAACCGGGTCGAACAAAAACACAACAACTGAGACAAAAACAGAGCAGAGAGGAAACCTGAGAGGAGAAAAAACACCAGAAACCAGGACGGTTCTGATCCAAACTGCTGGAGGAGACTGAAGCCACAAACAGGAAGAGAGCAGCAGCCTTCTGGGCTCAGATAAGGTCAGAAAATAACGGGCTAAAAATAAAACGCAGCGCCGAGCCTCGGTCTCCACGGAAACACACAGAAAACACGCTGAGCAGAAACACACACACAACCAGAACCTCCAGAACCTTGACCCGCTTAGAAGAACCCGTCAGACTGAAGAACATGTAAATCTGATTGAAGATCAGAAGAGTTTCCTGAGGTTTTCTCTTCATCTGCTGCAACTTTTTTACCCGGAAGATAAAAATGTTCATCATGAAGGTTTAAATAAGAAAAGATTCAAATCACAAGCATTTGGTTGGAGCGGCAGATTGTAGCTTCCATAAAAATCAATTCAGATAATCTATGAAAATCTATGAAAATGTTGATCTCCTCCCCGATCAATTATTTCTGTCTGAAGATATCAACCAAAACCAGAACCATCAGAACCCGTCCCGATGGACCCAGCCGGCTGCAGGGGAACATGCGGTCCAGGCCGCTCTGCAGACGTCGGCTTGTGTCCTCAGGTTTCCATGGAAACAGAGGTTTGGTTTAGCCGTCTCAGAGGCTCCAGAACCAGGCGACCTAACAGAACCGGCTGAGTCAGAGGAAACTCTGTCTGTCTTTCCTGTGAGTCAGCAGACGGAAACATTTACCCAGGATGAGGTGAACGCGCACGGAGAGCTGCGTCCTCAGGACCAGGATCGGCTTCCTGCCCTTTCTGTGGAGACAGAGACACGGTCAGAACCCGGTGCCGGTTCTGGTACCACAGCAACCAGGGTCGGGGGTCGGGGCTCAGACTCACGCCAGGTCCTGGTAGAAAGCGTCCAGCTCGTCCCGCTGCTCCGCCAGAGACGAGTCCAGGTCCAGGTACGTCCCGCTAGGAGACACCTGCAGGGCGCAGTCCTCCAGCTGCAACACAACCGGATCCGTTAGCCACAGGCCCGCTAGCTGGATGTTAGCCACAGGCCCGCTAGCTGGATGTTAGCCACAGGCCCGCTAGCTGGATGTTAGCCACATCCTAACATTCAAACTTTAACCGAGTTATTTAATCTGGAATAAAAACATTAAGTAAATAAACTGTGGATTATTTGTATTAAAAAATATAAATATAGAGACTCAAGCTGGGAAATATTAATTCATTTATTTATAGATTATGAATCATTTTGCAGCAGCGACGTCAGAACCAGAAAGAGTGTGTGCGTGTGTGCGCGCGCTGTAAACAGATCCAGCAGCAGCTGCTGCCACAACAAACAGAACCAACTCAACCGGACCCAGAAGGATCAGGAACACAGAAGATCACGACCCAAACTACATCAGAACTAGAACCTCCTGATCCAGAACCATTTCTCTAGCGAAACCCAATCTGGTCCAGTAATCATCTCCAGTCCTCCTGGTTCCAATCGGACTTTGGCCAGTCAAGCAGCACCGTCAGAGGTTCTGGACCAGTAGAACCAGTGGAACCACATTCTGCCTGCTATTTCTGGATTGGAACTGAGGAAGAGGATGATGATGAAGCTCAGCTCCACATTTTAAAGCGATGCAGTAACTTCAGCATGTTGGTTCTGGTTCTGGTCTGGTTCATCAGAGTGAGCTCACTGCCCAGCTTTAGAAACTGATTCTCAGGTTTCATGAAGTTTGGAAATGTTCAGTGGCCTGGTTCGGCCCAAATCTATTGGACCCAGTTTGATCCCAGTGTTCTGACCATCAGTGCTACCTCATCAGATTTTCCTACCGTAGCACGGATAGATAGCTAGGTCTATCTGTCTGTGCTACGCGTCCAAAACTGCTACCGTCATGTTTACAAACAGAAACTACAGCAGGTTGTTCATGTTAAATACATTGAATAACATTATTTGAGTGACGGGACTGAAGTGGAAGCTTAGGAGTTAAGCTTAGCTTAGCATTGGAACAATTTATATACATGATGAAACCAGAAGAAGATCACTTCCTTCATCAGAATATCCTACCCGTTTAAAATGAAAAGCTATAGATGTATGCACTAATCCTTTTACTAGAATATCCTACCTGTTAAAATATTTTAAATACATTGGTGTTTTTAAGAATAAAACGGTATCAGAAACTGATTTTTATTGGAATTAAAGACAAATACAAATCACTGCAACTCTTTTTGTGCATTAATACGTTGTATGACAGACTTTATTAATGTGTCCACCGAACTGCGCAGGTCACTGAAATGATGGGATATGATTCATATACACTAATATTACACCTCTCACATAGTATCCTACCAACATCTATTTAGCAAGGTTTAGTAATAAAGAGTGTTATTAAACTAAAATATTTTAAAGTATAGGGACAAAACAGCCACAAAACAACATATTTTGTCCTGATTAACCGCCAGACAATAACTTGCTTAATGAAATTGTAAGACGGCAAACTAAAGCCATAAATATATTTACAAGCTGCTGTCATGTAAACTACAAACATGAAGCAATACAGCAGCTTAAGGAAAGCCAGGAATAAAATAAATTAAATAAAGCTTACCGTTATCTGCAATGAAATAAAACACATGAAACGAAACTTCCACAGGTAGGATGTATTTATAGAAAATCTGCTGAGTCAGCAGAATGCGACATAGCGTCGATGTGGCATCATCACAAGGTAGGACAGATTTATGGGTAGCACAGATAAACAGAACACCGGCCCATAATAATCAGCTCTGTCGTCCAGTTTGTGGTTCTGAAAGCATCTGAACTGAACCAGAACCAGAACTGGTCCAGTAAACTCGTAGCATCAGATTGTAACCATGCTAACAACAATCACACTTCTTTTTACAGTTTTAGAAAGTGAACTGTAGGTGTTGAAACCGACAAACCAAATTTTAAATCTGCAGACCTGAAGGCTCTGAAGCTGTAGACCTGAGGAAGAGGATGATGATGAAGCTCAGCTCCACATTTTAAAGCGTGGCCATGACAGTGGGCGTGGCCATGGTGGTGGGCGTGGCTCGTTTTGTTTTTAATATGATCAGAAATTATTATGAAACAGAGCGAAGAGGTACATCTGGAATTTGAACATATAGAGACTTATTGCAGGTTATTGATAAATATTTAATTTATCAGAGCCTCAGGCGCCCAGGCATAGCGCCACCTGTGGTCTCATCGAGGAGGAGCTTCAGACAGTCAGACGCGGACCAGAAGTCTGGTCGGGTCCAGGTTCTGATCAGAACCACCAGGTCGACCCGTCCAGCAGAGGAGAAAGGCGGATTGCTTCTTTAATCCTTTGAACAGGAAGGAAACGCCGCAGTTAGCTTATCGGCTGCCCCGCCCACTTCCTGCTGGGGGGCGAGGAAGAGGATGAAGACCTCACATACTCCCAGGCTGCAGGACCGGCCCCAAGGCATGATGGGAACAAGCAGAGGTCTGAACATTCCTGCAGGCCTCAAACGCCTCGCAGCAGACTGGACTCAGAGAACCAACAGGGGTCGACTCGTCATCGTTACTAAAGATCAACAACCTGAAGTTTAACGATGCCTTTACAGCCCGTAAGAAAATAGGAGTTTTCGGTTCTAATGCATTTTATGATCATAAAAAAAAAAAATCTGGAAAATTTTCTGATAATTTCAAATTTAAATAATAATAATTAGCTCTTACTGTGTTAAACAGTTAAAGGGTTCAGGGGTTAAAGGTGACTCAGTTCCTGGTCTGGGGACCGACAGGTTCTGGTTCTGGTGGGTTCAGGTCAGACAGGTCCGTCTGTCTTCGTCTGAGGACTGTGACCTTTGACCTCTGGCTCCACACTGAGTTGCCTCTGAATTTTTTCGCAGCACTTCGCTCACTTCCTGTTTGGCAAAATGGAAAAAATCTGCCAGGAACACAAGGACTGGGAGAGAGACTGGGAGGACTTGGAGGTTTTGTCCTTAGACTCTGCAGGACGGATTTCGGCGCTGAAAGCTGCAGTCTAAGGACCAATCAGCTGCATCTCCCTGAAGCCCCGCCCCCTGCTCTACCTGCCCAGGTGGAGGCCAGCCTGCTGGAAGCCCCGCCCCCTTCACTGCTCCTGGTTGCTCAACAAGTGAGCAGAAACTTTGACCCAGATCAGAACAGAGAACCTCTGAAAGCCCAACACAGACACATCAGAACCTCCAGAACCAGGAGAAGATCCAGCAGAACCTCCTCAGAACCGGATCCATCTCAGCAGAACCGGTTCTGGTCCATTCTGGTTTCAAGCTCCGGTTCAGATTGTTGTGGTTCTGCTCTCCAAAAGTCCCACCACAGCCTTCCAGGACTTTGACTAGGCCGTTGTGTGTGCTGTGGTCCGACTGCTGTGTTTGGATCCCGGTTCTGACCCGGTTTGGACCGGGCCTCAGCTGCTGAAGAGGTTCAGATTTATCTGACGTGTTTCCGGTCAGTAAAGAGGCGGGACTTCCTGCTCCTCCGGACTCACCTGTTCAGGTTAACCTTTAAATGGACCGGACTCGTTTTGTGTAATTATTCATCATGACGTCACCCTGGCTAAGTGTAACCTCACCCTGGGAGCCTTTCCTCCCTCCATGCGCCTCACCTGACAGATTCTGGCACTAAGCTCACTCTGAGCCCGGTTCCGGCCCGGTTCGGAGTGTGACCCACCTTCAGCGGCGCCCCGAGTAGCTTGTGGATCCCGGAGATCTGCTCGCTCAGCGGCTGGTCCTCCTCCAGGGAGACAGTCGGAGGTCTCCGCGGTTCGGGAAAGTTCGTGCAGATGAACGGGTCCGAGTCCTCCAGGTACTGGACCCGGCAGGTGACGGAAGCCATGGCCGAGAGTCAGCGACCAGACTGCGGCTGGACTGCTGAGGGAGAGTCGGTGCGGCTCGCTGTGCCGCGGAGGAATGTTTAAATGAAGCTGAGCGCAGGAGGACCTGGCTGCACAAAGGGGCGGGGCCTAGGGCTGACGTCAGGCCCATATTTGGAACTGGCATGTTACCAGCCATAACCAGAGACTACATCCGATTTGGCCTTTCAGAATAAAGCTCATCCGATCAGACAACAAGTGGTCTGACCA